ACTCAGTTTGTGATGATATTCTTTTGTCACGAGCATAAAATAAATCATATAAACTAGTATAACTGACTCTTCAGGGCATGCTGTAATTATCACATATATCATGTGATTGTGGTGATTGCTATTGATTCTCCAACAGACTGAAATGAATGTCTTGGCTATGTTGTAATCTGCATCAACTTCAGAAAATATATGTGGTCAAAATTAGGAAAAATAATTTCAAGAGAATAGAATCAAAGATCTCAAGGGTTCATCTGATCCATTATACTATATTTGGTATTGAAAGCTGATCATCCAGTTGCTTCTGAAAGGTCTTCAGAGACAGAATACTTACATTAAAAAGATGTTGTTGTAATTACAGAAGACACTTGCACATACTAAATGTAATCACAATTGGGTTCCAATAATCAGACAAAATCCATGAAAAACATACAAGCATTTTAGAAATGCTTTATTACATTGTAGATTTTTTAATAAACACATAACCAGAAATTTTAATTATTTTTCTGTTTTATACTCCCTCTCATTAGTTCCACTAAGCTTGTTTTGCTAGCTTGCATTGTTCCCTAACTCTCCAATTAATACGTAACTGTATACTTCAGAATTTCCCTAGTAACAATAGCTTTAAATTCAAGTTCCTTCTCCCTCTCCTTTACAAGATAACGTAAATTCTTTGTGCCCTGATAGCTTATCCATATGTTCTTCCTAGTAATCTTTGACAGTGGCCATTTGACACCCTTTGCAATGACGCTTTGAAAACCCACTCAAACCAGGTTTCCTCCCTTTCACCAGGGATTTGTAATGAAATATTCTTTTGCCAACTCAGTGTACCTTGTTTCTATTTTCAGAAATAACTTAAAGTTCTTATCTTTATTACCTTTCTGTCTTGTATCAATGTATTTATAATTTTATAAATATAAATATAAAATATAATTTTATATTTTATAATTAATATGATTTTATATTTTATAATTAATATAATTTTATATTGCTTACAGGCTTTTTCTTTCTGCCAAGTCTGCGGTCTGGTTTCCTTCCTCTCTCCTTTCAAGTGGTGATCCTCATAACTGTATATGGCTTAAACCAATTAATAATCTTAAACAAATTTTCTATGTTATTTAAAATAGCATCCTGAACTCTCATATGCCAATCTCACACCACCTCTGTGCCTTGAAATGATTTAATCACTTTATGTCTACCAAGCCCAATAGAGGCCTCAATTCCTCCTTAAGACTTTCTTTATGTATTTTGATCTAATATTATTTATTGTTGCTCAAACCTTCTTTGATATTTACTTTCGGTATTCTATATTATCTTTCAAATATTAATTGCCATATGCTGCATATTTTTTTAATTGACTTACCTCCTTAAATCTTATTTCCCTAATGACACAACAAACTCTTTGATTACAGATATTGTGCCACATAATTTTATACATTACCTGCTGCCCATTAATTCCTAGCATGGTTCAGATAACACAGAAGATGCTTAATAAATGTTTATCGAATTGAATTTTCAGTCTGTCCATTTAATGTGTTAGCAGATGTTTACTCGGTTCCTTGTCTTGGCCTAACACTGGGTTTCCTTTCTTGATTAATTGCAATGAAAATAAATGCTTTGGAGGCCTATTTTTTGTTGTTGTTGTTGTTGTTGCAGCTGGCAAAGATCGAGCTGGTCTTATGCTACCAGAGTTGCATATTTTGCCTCGTTTACCTTTTAAACTAGAGACAATGTAGACCACTGCGAATAAGGAACAGCACCAAATCAGAATCTCTTGGGGGAAAACTGAGGTCTGAGTATTAGAGTTAATAAATAAAAATGCCAAATTTTGGAGCCAGAGGCAGGAATGAGGAAACTGTCCCCAGAGCTGAGGGCTGGAAGCCAGAATGTGGAAGCAAAACAAATAGAATTTAGACATGTATATGGAAAAAGTATTCAGTGAAAAGCGAATATTCCAGGATGAGTTCAACATTAATTATAGTCCCTGGTTTCCACAAAAATCAAGTTTAAAAATCTGGATCACGTAATATGATCACATATGTAGAAGCAGATGAGCTGAATGATTCCTGAATCCACGATTATTCTGGCCAGTGTCTGTCCGTGCCCAGTTGCTGGGTCCATTGCTCCTTGTGACTCCACAGGGTTTAATTACTACACAAGATGGACTGTGCTCCCATAGGAGAAATGCATTCCGCAACAGTTTTCTTAGTTTGGGTTTGTTACGTAATGAGTCACAGCAGAGACTTCTGATTGTTTCTAGTTGGCAGAGCACTATGGAATCTGATTGAGGAAAGGTATTAGGTAAATGCAAAACACTGACATTAGCTGATGTGTATTCAGTGTTCCAAGGCAGCAAAGTATTAGAATGTACAAAGTATTAAAAGCATGTTTTTCCCCTGATACAGTTGGAAAATTTTAGAAGTTCAATTTGTGGCAATACCTAATACAATATTAGGTAAATATTTATTAAACAGATTGACTATTAATTTTTCTTAAGTTATTGCTAAAACATTTGCTTAAAACGATATAACAAACCTCTTCTTGTTTACTGTGTAAAATACTCTAAGAAATAAATACACTTTTCCAGAAATTTAATTTATATTTTAAATTTTAGGATAAGAGAAAGCTAACTGAAATAACTCAACCACATACATCAAATTAACTCAAAATTAAAATCTGATTTCTGAAAAATCTCATAGCAAACAAAGAATAACCTCATATGCATAATGAGGTAAAGGATTAAGACAGCCATTTAGTTAATTCAAGCTAAAAATCTTCTTTCCTATAACTTTAATGAATATTTTAAGCAAAACTACTGAAGTCTGAATTTATCTGGAAAGCTGCCTTGGCTTTTCAGGGAACTTTCCATGGATGTAAACACTGACAATATTACTTGTCTAAAGAGCTTCATAATTTGAATTTTAGTATTTGTCACACATCGTTAGATTTACAGACTTCTATTTCCAGCATTCTCTTAATTAAGACAGTCCTTCTAGATAGAGGGATTAAAAATTATTAAAGTAAGGAACTTCTCACACAGGTCACAGATGTGAACATTAAGCCATAGAAAATTTAAGAATTCTTAGTTTTAACCGTAGACACGGCATTTGTGGCAAAGGTTGGCTTTTTAGTCTTTTCATTAAAGCTCTTGTATGTCACAAATACATTCTGTAAGCTTAAGTGTGATGATGAACAAATGCCAGGTTTGAGGCACCTATTTTTTTTTAACTATTTTAAGCAAGAGATTTGCCTCTATATGAACTTTAATGAACTTGTTGTGCTGAGCTTATTTTAGTGATACACTGGAATGGTTCTCAAAATTGGTTTGCATCAGAAACATCTGCAATTTTTTTTTAACTGTCCACTTCAGAACTGTAGTCTTCTTGTCTCCACTGCAGCCCTCCTGAAAATGTATCTATGAGGGATCTATGCATTATAAAATCTCCCCAGATGATCTTGATGCATGGTAGGGGTTAGAACCATGGGCAGGTGGCTAATTTAGGTTGAAATGAAAACATATTTGGACCAAACTTATAAATACATTGAAGTGTTTATTTCAGTGTGAATATTTAAGTTGAAGATGTTAATTCAATCTTTACCTATATTGTTTATGGCTTTATTGCCAACAACAGTACAGATCTTTTTCCACATTTTATTTCTATCCTGAGTTTAAACAAATCGTAATGTCATAATGGAAATGGTTTTATTGCTGTATACAACAAAGACAGGTAGAAATGAATTGCAATTAGAAATCACTTTGAAGATCTCTGTGATTAGGGACAAATTCTAACTTATAAGCAGTACTTGAGTATATAAAAACAAGAAACTTTCTGAATTATGCTTCATTTAGGGTGAACAAACACAAAAAAATGGTGGGAGATCTGATCTATTCACAGTATCCAGAAAATGTACAATGTACATATCAAAATGAGAAGAGAAAATTCTGTCCTTTTAAAGACAGAGTGCCAAACACCCTGAAAAAGAGGGAATAATCATGCGGGAAAGTTATTTTTACAAAGTTAATGTAATTTAAGAATTTACTTCACCGAGACAGTAGAATGTTTTAAAAGGAATTTTTAAAAAATTTACAAAGCAGAAGTTCTGATTAACTATTTACTTCTTCCAAACTGTGTAAGTATTGAGAGGACAGTAATAGTAAAGTCTACTTCCTTTCTGGAAAAGCAAGGAGAAGCTGCTACTAATTCTAACATATATTTCAGGGAGCACAGAAGTTGCAATAAAGCTGAAATGAGTAGTATAGAGCTCTGTGCTTCAGACTACCTGATGTCTTTTGACTCCTGTTGCTGATGTTTCAGTAAGAAAGGTGCAGTGAATGGTTAACCCTCTTTACAACCATCCAGAAAAAGACATCTGCAATTGCTCCAGGTCTCCTCTTCTGTCTCTCTCTCTCTCTCTCTCTCTCAACGCCTCATTCGATCTCATGCGATGCTCTTCACTTGAAGGCAGATCCTTTGACCTAAGCAGATTATTGTAGATGCATGAAGGACACAGCCAGCTAACTGCGCTTCTCAAGGAAGAGATTTGGCTCCAAATAGGACACTAAGCTTTTCAGCCGTCTGCTTATTTACCTAGTCAGCAAGATGCAGTGTCTCTGGGTGCTTAGTGGACTCCTGGGGAATCAGAGGAGAAACAAAAGCAGAAGTGGCAGCCGCTGCAAATCTGGGAGTCTGTGCCATTAAAGGAAGCAGTTGCTAATAAGGGCCTGTGAGACCTAGGTTTCCTTGGTTTCCATGACAGTTATTAGGTACCATAGAAATTGAATTGTCTCCCACAACGCTCTTAGGGGAGAGGGGGTGCTCCAGTGACAAAGCAGTTCCATTATGACTTGCAGTAAATCGTCCTTTGGAGAATGCAGTACTCTCTGGATTATTTGCTCTTGCATTTCTTGTAACTCCCCTTTCAATGTGTTTAACATTTTGACCAGAAGACTCTGGCCTCTGCTGCACAGTGTCTCAAACACTATTTTTCCCCTTTTTGTTTAGACCTGAGCTTGGCAAAGCAAGGATATGAACAATTGTGCAGGTGGGCTACTCAGGGCGAGTGAAGAGATAAGGCATCCAATCAGGGATTGGCCACCTGCAGCCCTGCCAATATGCCCCTCCACCAGATTTCCGTAATCCCAGCACGGGAGACTGCCAGCAATGGGAGAAATTCAATGGGCAGAAACAAAGAGAAGAACAAGGAAGTCGAGGTAAGAGGAGGTTTAATTTAATAACATCAGAGAGCCAAGCCACTGTTGCCAACACTGCTCTCTGCACCGTGGGACATAGCAAGGGCTTCAGAGCAGCTGGATCCCAGCTCTCGGTGTGTAACAGTAGATTGGAAGAGAATTACTTGTAATTGACAGGGGCATTTTAAACTTCACCTCTATTTTGTGAATGAAGAGAGGAGCCAGATCCATAAGGACACTTCCTACTTGACAGATGGAAACTTTTGCCTCTTTTTCTAAACGATCTACAGAGTCACTTTTGACTTTTATGTCTTCTGGGTTACAACCAGCTGTTCTGGGTTGGCTCTGGACATTGCTGTGGTACATTTTCACACAGTGGAACTGGTTATGCTTGCTAATTCTGCTCACTGCCCATTAAGCTAGGATATTTGAAGATAACTGTCTTAACAAAGGGACAGAGAAGCGAGTTATGACACATACATAACATGACTAATACATAACATGAATTAGTGCCTCATAGGATCTATTTGCTCTTCATTCATTGGCAGTGCATGGTTGTGTATGACTGTTGTTTGATATCTGTACATTTATATTTTATCTTCTGAAAAAAGGCTTCTTTTGAAACTTCACACAGGTTATAATTTTCCACTTCTTACATTGAGTCTTTATTTTGCAGGGAAATTTAGCAGCAGTTGTTCTAAGTTAACCTGCTTGAAAGATCATATGCTGGAAACTTATTTCAAAGGTTTTTAAGAAAGGGATTGAACTGAACACAGTCAAGGATATTGAGTGGAAATGTCATAAATGTTGTTGTGTTCCCCTAAAAGGGAGCTTGAGACAGAATGCCAAAAACTGTAATCCTCTTGTCTCTTTAACATAACTATTTTCTAGTCCTCAGGTGTCCTTAGCTTTGTAGGAGATGGGCTTTGTCTACCTCCAGTTCTACATGTTAATGTTTTTCTTTTAATCAGGAATAGATGCTGGAGACAGAGGGAGCAACAAACAAAAAATAAAGCAAATAAAATAAAGGAAATGGGAGTGGAGCGTCAAGGAGTGTCTAAAAAGAAAAGACTAATAAATTCGAATACACATTCAAATGAGAAAATGTATTTGCAGCCTCTTTCTACTTTATTTGAACTGATTTTGAAAATGTCATTCAATGGCTATGAGTTCTTGATGTGGCTAGAATTTGTAGATAACCTTGGGAGATTTTTCTAAGTTAGTACAAGAGGGACTTTTACATTAGTAATTGCCTCATGATAAACACATCAAATATTTCTGGAATTTCTGAGAACTAAACATCCTGTAAAGAAACTTCAGCAGTCCAGAATGCTCAGGCACATTCTCTAGAGTGTCTCTTTCCTTCGACTTGGAAATGTGATTATTAGAATATGAAACAGGTTTCTCTTAATTTTGTTGGTGTTAGGTGGAGAAGGTGGGGTACACTGATCAATTCTGCAACTAGGTATAGAAATGCCAAAAGCAAAATTTATAAAAGTTATACATTGCTTACCCACAGTAAAATTTCTGGATAAATTTAAGATAATGTTGAAGAAAACTTTATGTGAAGATATCGGGTGGCAAATTTGTTTGGTATCTGGAATGGTCAGCATCTGAATAATATTTGGAAAATGAAATACTGTGTCAATTCCAGTTCTTTGCCAGAAATCTGTTTCTGTAGATGTCTACTTGGCATAAATTGAGATGGCTTACATAATTTTTAAAGAACAAATAAATATTTTTTATGTTAGAAATAATGGTGAAATTATTCTGTGTCAAGTAAAAATAGCCACAGTCGTTATCCAGATATGGATATTAATCCACATCTTTAAACATCTTCACAAATATCTTGAATTATTAAAACATGTATAGATTTGTTTCTTTCAGGGTCAAAAACCACTCTCATGTGTCACAATGGGAGTTAGTGGGCATTTTTAAGGAAAGAAGAGGTTAATTGGGAGAAAAACAGAAGAAACTGTGAGCCTTCGTATAATTCCTAAAAAGGGATACAGTTCTGAATGTCAGAAAGGGAAGCACTTATAATGTTTCAAATGCTTCTTGGTTTTCTATAGGATGTAGTTAAAAGTTTCCTTTTAAAAGTATGTTTAAAACATATTAATCAATCTTGTAGGCTATTGAATAACTTGTTTTGATAAGCTAAATAAATAGTCTAAAAGAATTGTAAATGCCTTTAAGGTGGATAAATTAAACAGCATACACCTGTGTGTTGGACAGCCAGAAGAATCAGTGATTTCTGTAATTTCAAGTGGCGATGCTTTCTAAAGAAAAGTAATACATCTTGTACATATATGGACATTTCCTGATGAGCAAATGAAAAACATCCTTTCTTGAAGTTTCCGTAATGTTTTTTCTTGTCCTAAAGTTATCCAAAGCATGCATATGTGCATTGGGCAAATGATCTAATTTCAGAATTAAAGATTTAGTTGTAATTAATTTAAGTTAATAAATTAAATTAAAAACTAATTTGAATTTAATGCAACTTAACTTCTCTTCATTCAAAACTTAGTGACTCCTAACTAATGTATTAGCTTGATATCATATTTCTTAAGCCATATGAAGAAAAAAAATAGGAAAACTGTCAATCATAGTTGAAATACAGAAGATCCATCCTGTTAAGAATATCAGAAAAAGATTTCTAAAAATTATTTTGTTGATTTTTTAACAGCATAGGTCTTCTATATTTTAAGATTTAAAAAAAAATTCCTACCTCTAGCTTTATAATGAAAATATATTTTGCATGCCATAATATTATAATCATCTCTATTTGGTTAATAACCCTGGAAGTACAAAACACAAAATAATATATTATGTGCAGTTTGAATACAGTTGATATTAATATATTATGTGCAGTTTGAATACAGTTGATATTAAGGGTTAGAGAAGGGATATAGGTTTACCTTTCAGAGGCACCAGCTCTGGAGGTTGATTAGGCAGTTAAAATGAAGTGCCTTAGATTTGCATTCCTGGCACAAGATTTTATTAGCACAACCAGAGTGGTTACTACAACCACTTCACTTCTTATGAAGTGAGTAGATATTGGTCCATTATGAAGCTACAGAAAATTTAGCATAATACAGTAGTCAAAAGAATTAATTTACACTTGGAGACTGTATATATGTGATGGAATGTTTGAGTGCTAGCTCCAGGAGAGTTCTGGAAGGAAATTACTAATCAGATGTTCCTTGGTAAATGGAATCGATAAAGGAAATAAAATGGTTTAGATTCACCTACACCTTGGGAAAACCACATTCTTGGGAAAGCTTTGGGAGAAGATACCTCTTCAAAATGGTTCATAGTTCCAGATTTCTTTTTCTTTTCTGTTTGAATGTCAGTTTGACAGTTTAGCCTCTTTATATCTTATTTACCTACTTTTCTAAATAGATCATTTCTTCTATTAATTCATTCTTCTTTTTTAGATATGTCCACACCACTTACTACGCTGTAAATAATTCACATTAGAGATTTGGGTCTAAAAGACATCTGTCTCTTCCAAGGGCAGTAAATTTTATTAATCAAATTCTTAGCCCTCTAGGTGTAACTTAAATTCCTACTCTAGATCTGGAAATTATAATAATTGTACAAATTCCAGTATTTAGTTGACTAAATATTGTCACATATTCCTTATACTTCCCTGGGATTTGTAAGCAAATGCATCTGTGAGTTGTAAGTGTAGAGATACAGCTTGGATGGGGCCAAAGCTGTTTTTGGCACCACCTGCACTGCATGCTGCTATATTCTTTCTCAACACACTGAGTCTATACTGTAGATGATGGGAGGGAACTAAGAGGGAAAAATAAGATGTGAGTTCTTTGCTTCTGATCCTTCTTACTTTCAAGCTGACCACACATGGTTATCATCCTTTAGAAAGATTTAGGAGGAAAACAAAAACCAAACCGCTTTGTTTATATGTAGATTTTCTTTCACTATTGCCATTATTTTGTGATCTCTACCTCAGTTTTTACATTTTTTTCCAAAAAGGATATTTAGTTTTTCTTCCTAAGATATCCCTTTTAAGATCATCTACTTGTCTTTCCAATGATAGCTCATGGGCCATCTCTTGTTTTCAAAGTAGCTGGAGATCTGTTACTAGAGAATCTCTTTTGGTACAGATTCCAGTAACCTGGAAAAATATGGCTTTTTACTATATATTTTTCATTGTGAAAATAATGGACAAGTTACTGATTTATTTATTCTCATTTTTAGTAAAAAAATTAAAAAGTTAAAAAAACATATTTAGTCTCAGGGCCAGACCTGAGATTAGTATTCAGGCTACTCTGGGCTCAAGTCTTACATTATTTCTTAACAGTTAAGATAACTTAATCTTTTCACATTACTTAAGCAAAATTCGTAGAAGCAAAGGATCCCAAAATCAGAAAGTTCCTTATAAAATATTCATTTTAATTTACATTCCACCAATGAAGTCCATAGAGAATAAAGAGTTTGCCAATGTCAATAACTAGTTAGTGGTGAATTTGGGACAAAAATTCAGGCCATTGACTACCAGTCTACTGCTCTTTCTATCACCACTACATTTAGCAATCTTTTTTTCAGACACCAAGTTATTACCCCCGAAGAGTTCATGTAACCCCCAAACCTGCTAACCTGTAAGTGAAGGGAGTTTTGATTTCTCTTTGTTACGGTGTCTGCCCATGACTCGTAAGATCAGATGGAATATACAGTGGGTGCTATTTTAAAATATAACTAGAATTCATTTTATTCAAATTCAGAAAATATGGAAAAAAATAAATAATAATGGGCAAAGTAATTTAATAGGGAGGATACTGGGACACAATTCAGAATATTTGAAATAGAATCCTGGCTTCATCAAGGCCTCTTAACCTTGAGTAAATAACTCACTTAGCCTTTCAAGTTTGTCTCCTTGAGAAAAAAGTACATTTTCACTGGATCTCATTTTGAAAATAAGATTTCATTTTCTTCTATTATCCCTTGAAAATGATCATGTGGCCATGCTTCACTTTGGCACACAAAGGCCATGTTTGTCCTCAAATGCATATTTGTCTCAGGCAAGATAGGCCTGAGTAGTGAGGACTCACCTCTAATGGACATCTGTTGTGATTACTGTGCATCATCCACATTTACTTCTGGTAACCGTGTTCAAAGAACCAACCCTCCCCATTCGCAGTCATGTCGTTTGGGATGGGCCTTCATTGGCTTAAAGTAATTAGTGTATCACAATACTCTGTCATGGTAACTGGTTCAGGAATGGATACTTGATTCCATCGAATCAGTGACACACACTGAACCTTTAAAATGGTTTTTGGGAAGAGACATCTTTTGGTCCTGAAGACTTCTGAAGTAAACTTGCTTTCTTCTAATGGGTGGCTTATATAAGGACATGTGAGATATACTGAGGGAAAAGGCTGGAGCTTCAAAGGGACCACAGATGCTCCCAATGCTGAAGCTGACTTGGAAATAGGCAGAAAAGAGAGAGAGAGAAAAAAATACATTCTGGGTAATATTGTTTGGGCTAGTGGATCAGTCCTTCTTTAAAACCAATCCTTGTTAAAAACCAAACAGTTTTCCAATGAAGTGATTTGATATATGTCCTTTATTGTTTAAGCTGTATTTTTGGTAGAATGTTATGACACTTACAACATTAAGGACTCTAAATGATACTTTGCCAAAGGGCAGTTGCAATAATTTCCTGCTTTGTTACCTGTGCAGCAACTGGCTTATGAGATGGAAAATAGCTGGGATCTGGGGAAAGCAATCACAAACGTTAATTTTTGAATAGCCTGTGCTGAGAGCCCATTTACCCAGAGCATACAGGTTAATGCTCTATATTAACCAAATGAAATGCATTTTTAGCAGGTGTGAATCTGACACTACAGGGTGAATGCCAAGGGGTAGAAAGGCTAATTCTCTTTTTCATTTCTTCAGAAAAGCACTTTCCAACTACTTGCCTAAGTCTAAATTGAGTATTAGAGTCCCATGTGCTTAGAGTGAATTCCACTGAGTATGCTAATAGTGTGAAAATAATTTTATATAATGAAAATCAGGAAATTTCCATATTATTGTTTGCTTTGAGCAATGAAATTAGCATAATTCACGTTAATTTTTCTTGTTTAAAACAGATGTTGTGGATAATTGCATTAATAAGTAAGACTGAATAACACATTTTATAGACTATTAAATGAAAACAATTAGTAATTGCTGTCACACCCTGGTCAGTATTTTTTTAATTGTGGCCTCAATTAGGCAGGTAGATTGTTGAAACTCCTCCCTGGTGTAGAACTTTACAATTTTTTATTACGAATTTTTAGCTGATTTAATGAGACTCCATGTGGTCATTGTGTTTGAAAGATTGTTGAACAAAAACTTCATGTGGAAGAGTCTTGGAGCATTGGAGGAGCAGGTGTAGCTCTGCATGTTTTATTAATCAGGATTTTTAAAACTCGCTGATTAGCCAACATTTAGCTAAATTCTTTGTAGCACAAAGGGAGCACTGACAATGCCAGCATGGATTTAGAATCCCTCAATTTGAGGTACTGCTGAAGTGGGAGGATCACAGACTGAGAGCATTGCTTTCCCCCCAGCTCATTCCCAGGAATATCACCCTGAGCCACTTGCAGCAGCCTTCATAACCTCCAGGTGAGGATGAGAAATGACATCTATTCGATTCTCATTCTCTTCCTTGTCTCTGCGACCCTGTTAAATAATTGAAAGAGGCATGACACGGGGGTAGAGCTGGTGATAGCATTCTGCTCTTAAAAGAGTGAAAAGGAGACTGAAGAAAAGGACAAAGTGCTTCTAGGTGCTGGGTGTCTGACTTTTGGCTTTCAGCCTGTCATCTTTCACCTTGACTATCCCATTCATCAAATTGTGCAAATCTGGATAATGAAAGTGAAGCAGGCAAATGAAGTGGGCTTACTTTCACTCAACCAAAGGTTGCACATTTTCTGCTACAAAGCAACATGGTGCATTCTTTAGGATTGTACTTTTGATACCAACATGAATAAAAGGGAGTTTCTTAGGAAGAAAAACAATTCTGGCACCAGGAAACCACTGGATGCACAACGCTGCAGGGCACAGATAATGAAGCTCATGTGTGAGATACAGAGTAAAACATTTAAATGAGGCACCAGCTATACAGTTTCACACATGGTCAGATTCTATAGTAATTATCCTTACCTGTAAACCTAAATAGGTTTATTTCTAAGCGAGCTCCGTACAGTGGTCTATGCCTACGAATGCTTAGTGGCTGAAAGTTGTTATGTTTAATGTGTACAGACTTAGATCTGTAGCACAGTTTTACTTTCTAATTTTATTCAAAATTAATGATCAAAACTTACAAATGTTAGAGATTTGTCATTGCAAATTTTGCAAACCTTCAAAAATTCCAATAGAGCAATCTGTTTTATTTTAACCTAAAACTACTTTCTGTATGATCATTTACTATGTGAAACTACTACTAGGGTTCATTTAGATTTTGGAAGAAGTGATTACTGCATACACTTCACTGATTATACAGTGAAAGACTCATCTTTGACTGTTAGTTTTACCATCTGACTCAGGCACTCTTTGTGGCCCCATGAGATTGTAAGAGAACTTCATGCTTTAGAATGAAAGGGCCCCAAATCCCAGTATTCTGGAAAGCCAAGATGTAAGGATCACTTGAGGCCAGGAGTTCAAGACCAGCATCATCAGCAACATAATGGTACCCTGTCTATATAAACTATTAAAAACAAAAATTATCCATGCATGGTGTCACATGCCTGCAGTCCTATCTACTTGGGAGTCTGAGGTTGGAGCATTGCTTGAGCCAGGAGTTGGAGGCTACAATGAGCCACTGTCCTCCAGCCTGGGTGACAGAGTGCGATCTTGTCTCTAAGAATAAAGCAACAACAACAACAACAACAGAAAAGTAAAAAATACAAACAAAAAATCGCAAGGAATCACTTATATGTTGTATGACTATTTCAATGAGCAACAGAGTGAGGTGGTTAAAAGCATGTATCTGGAAGAAGACTGACTGGGTTCAAATTTGGGCTATGCTGCTTTGCAGCTGTGGAAACTCAGGTCACTTTCCATCTCTGTGCCTCAGTTTCCTCATATATAAAATAATGACAAATATGAGAACTACCTCATAAAGTTATGAGACTTCAAATAAGTTAATATCTCTAAGGGTCTAAGATTTACTGGGATAAAATAAACACCATTAAGTGCTTGATAA